TCGCCCTCGCCGGTTCCTTCGCGTGCAGGCAAGCTGGCCACGCGGCGAGCCCTTCGCCCGACGTCGGGTTCCTTAGGGTTCGAGGCTCCCAGCTGGAGTCGGCCCGCCTTCATCATTAAAAAAGAAGAAAACGATTCCAAAGGAAACCTGTTGCCGCCGCTTAGTTCCATCCATGCCCACGTGGGTGGAGAGCCGTGGCCCCCTGAGCAAAAGAAATGGTACCTAAAGCAGAGCTTTCCCGTCCTGGATGCTTTGTTCATCCCGTGTTCCCAGTGGCCACCTCAAAGGAATGGCAGGATTCTTACAGATCATTTGAGCTCACTGTGATTTTTTTTTTTTCTTTTAAACAAAATGCTTCGCCCTTTGGAGGAGTGATTCCAAAGCGGACTGGTGCCTCACTTGGATGGCCTTGGGGGTGAAGTGGGGCGGGAGATGGTCATTCAGAGGCCAGCCGGCTAGGCCTGTCGGCTGGAAATCACCCTGGCCCTTCACCACTGCTGTCAGGGCAGGCCCTGCGTGGGGAGGGTCTTAGTTTGGGGCTTCGAAAGAGAAATTTGAGATTGTGCTCGATGTTGTCGTTTTAATGGCCTGATAAAAAGAAGGCTTTTGTGCTCTCAGGCAGTAGGTTTTCTAAGGTAAGATTAAAAATAGAAAAGGAACCGGTTTCTGAGGTTGCAACTCTGGAGGTTAGGGAACAGAGCGAGGGGGTGGTGAGCTGAAGTGTGAAGAAAGGGGGTGGACAGGTGAGGGAGATGTGGAAGGATAGAATAGGGTCATAGAAGGGGTGGGGAGCAGAGGAATTGGGAGATGGGAGAATGAATACTCTTCCCGTGAAAATAGAGGGGGTCCCCATATTTTATGTTAAGTGGGGGTTATAAAGCAAACGTTGAGCAAGTCAGCTGATGGAATGGCCAACAAGTACTGAAGGCCTGCGTCTGTGGCACTTCCATTTAGTGGAACTTTATTTTTCCCCCATCTTGCAAGTTCATTAAATTCGAACTCGTAATTAATATAAAGTGCTTAAGTTTAGCATGCTTTCATAAACATCTCATCATTTGCCTCTTAATCCACGTGATCTGTTTGAAGTTAACAGTGAATAATACCCCCTTTTCTCAGGCAAAGGAGCTCTGGTGGTGTGATGCTGTAGGCATTGGGCTCCTAATTGAAAGGCCAGTTCACACCCAGTAGTCACTCCTTAAGAGAAAGGTGAGACTGTCCCCATAAAAGATGCACAGTCTCAGAAATCCCGTGTGAGTTGGAATCAACTAGATGACAGTGGGTTGGGTTGCATTTTCTCGGCCGATGTTCTGAGATTTGAAGGGAATTGCCGAGGTCTCTGAGTTTTAGACCAAGTTCCTCCATACAGTGACCATTGGTTTGCAACCTTTGCCTGGTATTTCAGATGTTCATCCAGCTTGATTGTCATTTAATGACAGAGTGGTTGAATTTGGAGTTAAACTTGAGCAGATCAGATTGGATAATTTCTAAGTGAATGGGCTGGGAGAAGTCCCCTATCAATTTAATGCTTTTCTCTCCCATTCCTGTGCTTCTCTTGGGACTGTTGTAGAGTTGAGAGATGGTGAGGGTCTGAGAAATAATAGCTACCAATGTATTTTTTAAAACACCACTGCCACCCATTCAATTCTGATAGGGACCCCATAGGACAGTACAGCACCATAGAGTTTCCAAGGTTGTAAAACTGTATAGAAGCAGACTGCAACATCTTCCTTCCACAGATTAGTTGGTAGGTGTGAACTACCAACCTATTGGTAATGACTATACCATTGCTCACTGACTGCTTACATTATAAGCCTACATTGAACTAAGTGCTTTATGTTCATGTTCCTTACATAATTCTTGCAACTATCTTATTAGGTACATAATATGATAGTCTTAACATTTTAGACTTAAGAATGTAATTATTTGTCTTTCTACAGACTTATTTAAAATAATTTTCACTGTTAAGTATGCCAAATACATGAAAAAGTATAGGAAATAGCATGATGAACACCGTTGTACCTACCACCCAGCTCTATTATACATTGTCACATTTGTTTCAGATCTTTTTTTTAAAGAAACATTACCAACAGTCTTTGAAGCTCCCAGTACCCCTTTTCCATACCTCGCCCCACTACCAGAGGTAATACTATCCTGAATTTTTGGTGTTTCATCTCCATGTGGGTTTTTAAGTACTGGAAAAAAATTTTTTTTTACTTGACACCAGAAGAACTGCATGGTGCCTAGCTACTACTACTGACTGCTCTGCAAAGGCTCACATCAGAAGGCCCTGGATAAGAGTGGGAGGAAAATGTAGAACAAAACTCAAAATCCTAAAATCAGTTTAACTGATTAGATAGGGATTAGTGGGCCCCCTAAGATGGTAGCCTGTCTTTTAGGTCTAAACCTGAATTCACCTCCATATTCTATCTACTTAAAGTCAAAAGGCCATCATGTACCCAAAGACAAAGTTCAGCTGGTTAGGGGGGAAAAAAATGGAAACAAGAAAAAGGGAGGAAGTGGAATCGGTCATGGTACATGAAAATGATTGTTGTGGATGAGTTAAATTGAAATATTGAATGCAAAATTAGGATCTACTCTGTAAACCTTCACCTAGTTCACAATAAAAAGTTTAAAAATGAGTAATTGTACTTTTTTTTTTAATGGTTTCCACGTTTTTGTTTTTGTTTTAAACATTTTATTAGGGGCTCATACAACTCTTATCACAATCCATACGTACATCAATTGTGTAAAGCGCATTTGTACTTCATTCTCAAAACATTTTCTCTCCACTTAAACCCCCGACATTAGGTCCTCATTTTCCCCCTCCCTCCCCGGTCCCCCCTCCCTCATGAGCCCTTGGAGTAATTGTACTTAAGGTGAAAGTTTGCAATAACATTCATTTTCCCAGTCAATATTTATTCACAGATTGTTCCATGACATGGATTGTAGTCCCTGTGATGTGTTATGCTCTAGCACTCTCCCTGGTTCTTTCCTGGAGTCCCTGTTAAGCATTGATCCCTTGTCTTCACATTTTTGGTTTTGGGCAAATGCTTCCCTTTTATTTTCCTATAGGTGATTGTTCTGAGGAGCACATTCCTTATGGGAGATGGTATTGGTGGTTTTATAGACTTGTCTGGCTGGAAGATGGCTTCTGGTTATTTTTAAATAATTTTATAATATATGCATGTACCCATAAACAGTATTCCAGTGTATGGTATTTTCTTCAACTAATAAATTGCAGAGGAGAAAAAGAGAGGGATTCTATCAATTAAAATATTTACAAAGGACTCCAGCCAATTGCAATGTGTGGACCTTATTTGGATACTGGTTTTTGTTTTGTTTGTAAAGCTATGAAAAAATTATGATACAGATCATTAGAAATCTGAACTGGGTCTGGGGTCTTAAAGGGTTGAAGATAAACAAGAGGCCATCTAGCTGAGAAGCAACAAAGCCCACATTGAAGAAGCATACCAACCTGTGTGAAAATCATGAGGTGTTGATAGGATCAGGTATCAGGCACCAAAGACCCAGAACAAAAAAATCATATTTGTGTAACTTTTCACATTTAAGTAGAAAAGCAAACTGATATTGAATCTTTAAAGTCTCCCCTAGACTTTTCTTTTCCCTCTGTTACAACAGTCATCAATTTTGCATCTGTCTCTTTCCAGACTACTGATCTGTAGTTACATATGTATTGAAAGTGAGGTGAGTGTGTTTATGATTAACTTTTAGATGGAATTTTAGACATTACCTAGTCCACCTTTTCTAGCCCTTTCTCATTTTGTAAATAAGGAAAGAAGTGATGATAAGTGGTTTAGTCAAGTTATTAGAGCTGGCTAGTGGCAGAAGAGGACAACAACCCGGGTCTTTGAACTCCCAGGTCTGTTCATACTGAAAATAATACTGTTAAGAAAGTACAAATTGTTGAGAAGAACTAAACTGGGTCCTTTGTTGCATAATTTTATCTCTAAAGGTTTTTCTTTGGTATTCTTGACTCAAATCTAACTTTCTGGTATTTTTTTTTTAATCAAAATGAAAATTAATACATGGCGCCACCTTAAAGCACAGTACAGTTGACTCTGTAATTAACCGAGTTGAAAGTGATGAGAAGATCCTCTGATTTCTTTTGTGCTTTCAGGAAGGTGGGAGTCACTCATTTTGACAAGTCTCCGGAAAGGAATAGCTAGCTGGAGCTGAAACCTTTTCCATGTGGTCTCGTGGCAAAGGCAGTGATCGCTCCCGCAGATTCACAGTATGGAAGACAAGTCTTTAGCTTGTGCTCTTAAAGTTGTTACTATTCCCTTTTTTAACTTCAAAAGTACACCTTTTTTTTCCAAGTGTAAACTGAAAATCCAAGCCCGCTTACATACTCTTTTGATTTTATGTCATGAATGTTATTACATAATAGAATATACAGAGCTACTTCATTCTGAAGTATAGCATGAATGGATATATATATCCATGTGCATTTGTGCATGTAACTTGTAGTGAAATTCCTGGGGTCAAATGATACTGGCAAATTACCGTCCACAAAATATTGTGCTGACTTACAGTTTCACTGGTGATATGTGAGAATTCTTGTTTTTCCCCATCCGCAGCACCCATTTTATTATCCATCAACCTGATTTTTATGTTTAGAAAATGGGGAAAATTAAAATACACGTTTGTGTGTTTAAAATGTAATACAGTTTCACAATTCTGGCAAGATTAAATATCTTAAAATTATTTCTCAAACTACAAGTCACATGGTGCAAAGGATTTGAAGTATTAGAACCTCAACTGTATAGACTATTGAAGTTAGTATACAGACTATTAGACATTCCCTGTTCCTCACTGAAACTACCTCTTATTTCTCCAGACATGACGTGTTCACTGATGCCCTCTGAACAGTCTTCTGGTACCTCTCTCTTGCCTAAAGAGAATGCCTCATTTTCTTGGGGGTCCTTGGATGAGGAAGAATTGGACGATTCCTTGCTGGACCTGTCTGATGGAGAAGAAGATGATGGCCATTTCAGTTACACAGAAGAGGAGATTCAGGAGATCCTGAAGGATGATGCTGTATCAAATGAACACTTTTCTTGGGGAAGAGGGTTGCTTAAAAATGATGACACGCATATTGAGAAGGAAGAGAAAAAGAGTGAAATTCTACCTGGTGCCTCCCAAGCGAAAAACTCATTGTGCACCTTGGAACCAGTAGCTGAAACCTTTGGCCTCTTCAAACTACCTCAACTAATAGGTACATCACTTGGTCATGGACCAACTCCTATTAAACCATTAAACAGACGCTTTGCACTAGAAAAAGATGTCATAAAAATAACTGTTGCACCATTTGATCCAACAGTTTATGATGCTGAGCCTGATAAAGACAAGACTGATTCACCCAGAGACACCAAAAAACCCTCCTTCCCTGGGGAAGAATCAAAGGACGATGGTCTTAACCCAAATGAGAGCAAACTTTGCACTGAATCTGATGGCGCTAGCCTCACTAACTCTACCTGGGATGGGCCCCTAGTACCTTCTCCTTCAAACAGTAACTCTCGGGAAATTGTCCCTGATCAAAATATGACGGACAGTAAGGAACCTACATCTGTACTCTCTCAGGCCGTGGACTACTCAGAGTCATCCTGGAGAAATGGTGAATCATATAAATCAAGTTTTGAGGTAAAGTTTGTAGTTCTGAGTAAAGTAAAAGTGCATTTTTTCCTGGTGAAGAGAAAATTTAATTTCATTCACATACAGTGTAGCAGACAAATTGGGATGTGAATGTTTACTAGCAGTGTGACCTTGGGGAAATTATTTAGCCTCACTAGTCCTCACTTAATCTATAAATTAGAGTAAACCGGTAGCTGGAACCTCTGGCTTCTCTATTTCCCCAGACCATTTTATTGGGAGCTAACACAGATAGGTCTTTCCAGAGCTCTATCACATCAAGCAGTATTACGCAGCTGCTACCGTGGTCTCTTTAAAGTACCTCAACTCACAGTGTAATAAAGGTTGAGTGAACCAGTGTATTATTATATACCTGGTACATGATTTTAAGTTACCATTTAGTGAATAATTACTAAGATGCTGCTGATTTTATTACTATTTCTTCAATCTTTGTGTTTCAGACTTAAGACTCAATTTTGGGTTGTCGTGCTGTGTTAAGATACAGCACCAGTTCTGAAATAGCCACTAAAGAGTTGAAAATCTTAGGCAATTTACTAACCACTTGGAGCTTGATTCTTTGTCTAAGGGCATAATAATCCCTATGCATAAAGATTAGTTTGTGTTTTTAAAAAAAGATTATAATCACCATCTTATTTAAAGCACCCACCATCTTGTGGTACTCAATAGGGTTCAGGGTACATGCCTGTAACCTTTAGTTCAGGGATATTTCTATAAATAATATTGTTTGTTCTATTAAGAACTATCTTTCTTTTTGCATTCTTTCCACTCTGAAAAACAAAACAGAAAACAACTCAGGATATTTTTGACAAGGATGTTGAGAAGATGAAAGTCCGTAAGAAAAGGCTAGGAAAAGTCCTTCCCATCCAGAAAACCCAAACAAGGTAACCTAACTATAATTCCGTCTTCTCTGTCCAACAAGGACTTGAAAAGGAGAGCAGATCTCTGAGTTAGGGCAGTTAGCACAAATGTGTAAGTAGGACTTTTGTTAGCATGCAACAATTTGGGTGTGTATGTCGTTACATATAACACATACATAGTGAGAGTGATAAAATGGTTACCAGCAGATTTTGAGAGAGAATGCTATATCAGAAAAGTGTCAGTTACCACCTCATTCTCCCTGATTGAGGTTTCTGACATTGTGTTTCTTTTTTTTTTTTAAATCATTTTCTTGGGGGCTCATACAACTCTTATCACAATCCATATGTACATCAGCTGTGTAAAGCACATTTGTACATTCTTTGCCCTCATCATTCTCTTCGATTTTTTTTTAATGTCTTTTTCTTATTTTTTAATCATTTTATTGGGGGCTCATACAACTCTTTTTAAAAATTATTTTATTAGGGGCTCGGCTCATACAACTCTTCTCACAATCCAAACATACATCAATTGTGTAAAACACACTTGTACATTCATTGCCCTCATCATTCTCAAAACATTTGCTCTCCACTTAAGCCCCCAGCATCAGTTCCTCATTTTCCCCCCTCCTCCACTGCTCCCCACCCCTCGTGAACCCTTGATAATTTACAAATTATTATTTTGTCATGTCTTAAACTCTCCGACATCTCCCTTCACCCACTTTTCTGTTGTCCGTCCCCCAGGGAGGAGGTTATATGTAGAACCCTGTAAACGGTTTTCCCTTTCCACCCCACCCTCCCTCCACTCTGACATTATGTTTCTTGCTCATCTTTTTGCCCTCTTTTGAGTGTACCTTGACTGTGTACAGATATTTTGAAATATGTTAAATTGTTTTCTTTCAGTTTAGATAAATGGAAAGATTGGGAGATTGGAGGATTAAATTTTAATTTCGTGTGTGTATGTGTATTTATTATTGGTTTTCTTCCATTTTTTTTTCTTTCCATCCCCAGTTTCTCTTTAGTGTTTGGGGGAAACCCTATACTAGGAGTAAGAAACTGAAAGTCTTGGCATTCCAAATAATTGTGTGACCTTGGGCAACCTAAATAATCTATGACCTTACTTTCTTCATTGATAAAATGAAGCAAATGATGCTCACACTGCTGCCTCACAGGGTTATTTTGAAGAACAAAAAGGAAATGTTAGTGAAACCAAAAAACCCTTCATAAAACTAAATTCATTACCATCGAGGGTTTTGGGTGCTGTAAACCAGTCACCACATCTCTCCTCCACCAGGCAGCTGGTGGGTTCAAACTACTGACTTTATGGAGGGAAACTGTGAATTACACCCAACACATAATCCACTACACCAGGGCTTTTTATTTTAGTGAAAATAACTCTAGAAGTCTGAGGCTTCTTTTCTTATGTGTGAGGAAGCCTTGTCACAGATATTAAGGAGTTAGGAATTATTTTAACAAAAATGCTAGGCTATAACTGAAAAATCATTTACGTAAGTCATCTCATAACTTGTCCTAAGGGGAAATTCTAGTAGGGGTTACAGGTGTGGGTCCCCTTTTTTATTGATTCTCTTGTGGCCAGGAGATGGCAGTGTTTCTGCATGGGCCTTTTCAATTGAGTGCATTAGAAAGGCTTTTAGGTTGTGTCCGATTGCTTCCTTTAACATTTTTGATTTTTAAACTTTTGATTATACAGATACTACTTTTAGTCTGCTTTCACAGATCAAAAATATTACAAATAAAGTTAAAATCCTCCTTGACTGTCACCCCTAATCACAGTTTCTTGTTATTGCATAGCTGAGGGAAGCATTGTGAATTGCTTACAGTGGAAATTATACTAGAACAACACAAGTCTAGCTACTTAGAATTATTTTAATAAATAGATAAATTTATTATCCCAATATTCTCACTCACTGAATCCTTAGAACAGTAAAATCATGTGAACAAAAGCTAGAAATTGTTTTTGCTAAGATCACCATCACCCTAGTTGCCAGATCTAGCTAGTCCTTTTCAGCCATTATCTCATTTAACTGGGCTGTGAATAGCTGTGAATTTAGCTATTCCTGATTAATCTTGAATTACTCAACAAATCTTTCTCTAGGGGAATAAGTGATCTTTGCTTTTTTATAGCATGTTCATAAGAGATTATTATACTTATTTCTCTAGCACCATATTTATTTGGGGGGCTTCTCACCCCTCATTGAAAAGAACTGGTTTATTTGATTAAACAAAAATAAACTGCATAAGAACAATTTTTTTAAGATTAATCTATTTTATTTATCTTTTAAAATTATTTTATTGGGGACTCGTACAACTCTTATCACAATCCATCCATCCATCCATTGTGTCAAGTACATTTGTACATATGTTGCCATCATTATTCTCAAAACATTTGCTTTCTACTTGAGCCGTTGGTATCAGCTTCTCATTTTTTCCCCTCCTTCCCTGCTCCTCCCTACCCCATGAACCCTTGATAATTTATAAATTATTATTATTTTGTCATATCTTACACCATCCGACGTCTCCCTTCACCCACTTCTCTGCTGTCCGTTCCCCAGGGAGGAGGTCATATGTAGATCCTTGTAATCTGTTCCCCCTTTCTCCCTCACCTTCCCTCTACCCTCCCGAAGAACAGTTTTTAAAGTCCAAAGAGATACCAACTTTATTTTAAAGTTGCAGTAGCTGATAGAGAGTCTTGTTGCCACCTCCTCTAGTCTTCTCTGGACCACAGTGATGTACTTGGAAGGATATTTGCTTTTTCCATCAGTTCTTCACTTGTACATTGCCTGTTACGCGTGTGGCCTGCAATATGACATTTAAGATTTAGAAGTTAAAATGAACCAATGAAACCCACTTTCACATAAAGGTTTGGGGCAAGACCTTGCTTCCCTACCCATCAACATCTTGCTGGGACCCACATTGCCACTGTAATGGCCAGGATGTCTGGGGGTTAGTGTTCAGCTCCATATTTGAATTTTGCTTCATTCCACATGTCACTTCAAAAGAGAATTTTGCCTTTGAAGGTTATTGATTGTAACCCAATCATCAGCGTTTGACTTCTCTCGACAAGGGTCTATACCAGTGATTCTCAACCTTCCTAATGCTGTGACCCTTTAATACAATACAGTTCCTCTTGTTGTGGTGACACACCCCCCCAATCATAAAATTATTTTCATTGCTACTTCATAACTATAATTTGGCTACTTTTATGAGTTGTCATGTAAATATCTGATATGCAGGATGTATTTTCATTGTTAAAAATTGAACATAATTAAACATAATTAAAGCATAGTGATTAATCACAAAACAATATGTAATTGTGAAATAATTAGGTGTTTTTTGATAGTCTTAGGCGACCCCTGTGAAAGGGTCATTCGACCCCCAAGGGGGTTGCAACCCACAGGTTGAGAACCGCTGGTCTATACTTATGGTTCTAACGTATTATTTTTTTTCTTATTATTTACTTTTTCAAGGACTAATGTTCCAAACGTTTCACAATCCGATCTAGAGCAAAAGAAGGAAATTTATCTCAGGAGTGTTGTTGCTCATATAGAAGACCCTGAGGATTCTAACCAAGGTAACGTGGCAACCAGAGTGGCTGGCATGTGACAGCTTAAACTGGAAGTTGAATTTTTTTGGATTTTCCTTCAATTGGTAGGAAAGAAAAACTTTTACCCATGGATTATTACTTTTAGGGGTTGCCTAAAAAGTTAACCCTAATCAGTATTAGAGGAGGGCCCAAGGGGACTCATACCAGAATGTAGAGTGCTTCCTTCTCCTCTCTGGTTGAGGGCTATAACTGCACTTGTTTTCTGTGAGGGCTGTTTTAATCTGAAAACTAGAAGTGGAGGCCCTGCTTCATAATCTTTGTTTTTATATTTGAAGTTATTATATTTAGGTGTAAAAACAGGCATATCAGACACCAGCCTGCCTCTTGTTGTCAGGTGCCATTGAGTTGGGCTGCTGATTCATGGACAGCAAAGCACTGCTCAGCCCTTCACCATCCTCACAACTGTTCATCTGTTTGAACCCATTGTTGTAACCGCCATATCAATCAATCCATTTCATTGACAGTCTTCCTCTTTGTCACCGACCCTCTACTTTACCAAGTGTGATTGTCCTTCTTCAGGGACTCATCTCTTCTGATAACATGTCAGAGAACTGAGGCAAAGTCCCAGAATGCTTGCTGCTAAGGAACATTCTAGCTGTGCTTTTCCCAAGACACATTTATTCTACTGGAAGTCCATGATATTCTTAAATTTTTTAGCCAATATTGTAATTCAAAGGCATCAAACCTTTTGTTTTCTTGATTTACTGTCTAGTTACCGTATGCAGATGAGGCCATTGAAAATGCCAGGGTTTGGTTCAGGTGCACTGTAGTCCTCAAGGTGACGTCTCCTTTTGCTAACACTTTTCCAGTAGGTTTTTCTTGTGTTTTAACATCCAAATAAAGCTCTTGAAAGGCTTTGACTACCTTCCAGATGCTGCAAGCTGAGTTTATCTCCCTAGTTCATTAGGAGCTATTATAAGCCAAAGTGATTAGATTAATTTTCCAGCCCTTAAGAGAGAGTAATACTGTTGGCTGATGGGATAATTCTTAAAGGGAAACTTGTGGGCAGAACTGAACGTACAGAAGGTAAGGAGATACTAATAAAATAATTTCTCCTCCTAAAGATCATTATATAATCTGTCATCTTTAGCTATTCTTCCTACTCATTCACCAAACCTTTCTCTAGTACCTTCAGTGATGCTAGACTTGAAGACTTAGGCATTGGAAATATAAGGAGTAAGTTAGTGTCTCAGTCCTCTGGAAATTCTTAGTCGAGAGGAGGAAAAGATAATTACACTGCAATATTGATCAGTGATCTCTTAGAATTACACATAAAGGGCAGTAGGAGCCGGGAAGGAGCATTTCTGTTTGTGTTTGGGGAGAGTGGAAGATGGAGAAGATAATTAGTTCAATTACTTTAAGATCTATGGCGAGCCACTAGGGAGGGCTTTAGGAGCATTTTTGGCCACAGATCAGAGGAGGCTCCCCTTCCTTTGAAAACTCTTGAATTATTTAGTAGTTTTTTTCTTGTTTGTTTTTCAAGGCTGTGAGTAGAAGCCTTAGAATTCTGAGATACCAGTCAAAAGAATCTTTTATCCCAAGTTTTAAAAATTTTTACTCCAGATTTCATTAAGCTGTCAAAAATTACTTGAATTGCCTTCATATGTATCCTTTTGTTACTAGGAGGAGGCTCTAGTTTCAAGCCTCTCCCTCTTGGCTCTTGCCCTGCTCTTAAAAAACGATTTCAGGTGAGGGACAAAATTCAGCCCAGAGTCAGAAAAGATTTGAACAGAAAGAGTAAGTTTCTTGAAGGGGGGGATACTTTGGAAAAGAAGTCCAAGGGTCGTTGGCCTAGTCTAAAAAGCCTGGCAGAATGTAGATCTGACAATATAGTATAGTGACCTCCCACCATAGGCTGGCTTTCTGGTGGGTCTTCTGCTATTGGTCAGTCCTCTGTAGCGTTCCTCCTCTTTCCAGGTATGAGCATCCCAGTACTCCAGGACTTACATGCTGTGTGCCTTTGTCTCAAACACAAAATCAAAAGTCTATTCAGTCATTATGGTGTGGGTAGTGTGAATATCTTGTCTTTCTTCACCCAGTCTTCACTATCTCTGGTCTGTTCCATTGATCAGAAAATGTGTCTTATCTGCCCTTTACCTTCCTTTGTGCTAGAAAGGTGTATGTATCTCTACCTGCTTTGTGTGTTACAAGGTCTGCCAGATTCTTACCATCACACCACCTCTTCTCCCTTTGCCAGTCTTTAACTCCTTTGTTTATGTGATCCCCTTGCTTGAACTATTGTAAAGATCTGGTAGAACCAGAGACACCTACCTCCTCCACCCCCATCGCTCCCCAGCTATAAAAGGACAAATTTAAAAGTTAGTCTATATTCAAGCTTTGTGCAAGAGACTTGTTCATTGCTTTAATTTCCATGAGGTGACTGAGCTTGCTTGTTCTTCATATCCTAGAGAGTTGACATTTTTGAAATTAATTCATGTTTTATTTATCATTTGGAGCATGAAGAAAAGGAAACTTGCACACAACTATAGTGAGCTCTAACTCATGTTCTAACATCTCTAATCTCTCCGTTCTGTTATTCTTCTCCATTGCCAGATAACCTATTTTCAGTAAAGAACAACTTATGGTTAATTAGTATCGTAGAAAGGCAGCATATTTTAGTGGTTGGGAGAGTAAAGTGTAGTCTAGGGCTGCTAACCTTTGATTTTATCTTCTGGCATACCTACTTAGCGGTTGTGTGACCTTGAGCCAGTAAAACT